CCTTCTCTTGAAATCAGAAACCAGAACACCACATACATGCACAAAGACACGCAGCTGAACACTTTTGAGGGCCCATATTAAGGTGGAGGGATATGCTTTCCCTGACAATTTTATTGATGGCTACAAAGCACGGAAGAGCAGCCGTGAATGGGCTGGCGAGCTTGGATGGCACATTTGTCTTTCAGCCCGTGAGATTCAGCTTTACATGGGGCCTTGGGCAGGTTTTAAAGATTTGCTGTTCCCGCTTCACATCATACACACACACACACACACACACACACACACACACACACACACACACACACTGCAATTTAGTACGATCAGTTGTGCTGGCTGAAGGGGAGATACAGAATACAATAGCGCCAGCATATTACAGGGTAGCCAAGGTAGAGAAGCTTTTGCTGAAAGCTCCATGGCACCCAACTCCTTCTAATTCTCGACACAGAGATGAACCAGTGGGGACTGACTTGAGTCCAGACATTTCCAAGGCTGGGAAGTAAGCCTAGATTAAGTTGGTAAGCCAGGAGACTAACGCCTATTTACTGTTCATCACATCTTGATTCCTGAAATTTAATGGGTCTTTTCTTCCACAGATGGCTATAGCCCTTTCCTATAAAATACCACAGCCAAGAGAAGCCGAGATCCTCAAGAAAAAATTACTAGGCAAGCAACAACAAATGGATCTGTCTTTCCCTTGAAATCTCATTAAGATCAGTGTTGCTTCTCCAGCTGCCTGAACTCCAGCTGGTACTTCAAGGTTTTTCCAGTGGTCCTATGCTAAGGCCTATCTTTTTGAACTGACATTTGTAAGGCATGGATTTTTAAAGGGAATCTTGATGGCTGCAGTCTGAAAGGTAACCCTTTTAAAAATATTGCTAACTCAATTCTGCACCATGGAATTTTAACTGGATAATTTTGACTGCTTAGCTTAAACTCATCTATACTTGCTGGAATCTCTGAAGAGTCCTTTGGAAAGACAAGATAAAAATGTTGAAAATGAACTGGGGTTAATGCCTGCACCACCAAATTTGACTCCTTCAGCCCAGTAGGTTCCTTCCCTCTAGAAAATCCTAAGAACTAGGAGGTTGATCCTCTTGGCTGATCATATTCCCAAGGCAGCTCAGTTGCTGCCAGTTTAGCTGGAGAGTGTCTTTACCAGCAAGATGGACAGTTTGTTTGTTTGATTTCCATCAAAGAAATGGTGCTCAACATGGCTACTAATGGCAACCAACATTTTTAAAGTCCAAAAGTAACCATGAAAGAAATATACAGCAACAAAGCCCCAACGGAGCAGCCTGCAAGCTCAAGATCTGCTTGAGTAAAAAGGCCGTTGTTTGCTGGCAGAAAGCAAGCAAAGAGGGGCCACCTAAAGCCCTCCAGCAGGGAGCTCCATGGCTTGGGAGCAGCCGTGAGGCCTTCTTGGTGGTGTTGTGCCCTTCAAGCTAAATTCTGGTATGTTGGGCCTCATCTTTTTTGCCTTCAGCCTCATTGACGTGAAGTCCCCAAGAGCTTCTGGGATGGACTTTGGCTTGCTGGCTGGGAGATCTTCCACACCCCTGCATTTTTGTGGGAGGGGCATAATACGTAAGGCGCCTTCTTTCATCCAACCCATCATTCTCTCAAGGTTCTTCATTGGCAACTGTTCAAACACTAACCACCATATTTAAGTCTCATTTTACTGACATTACTGAATACTAGTCAATGAATTTTAGTCCAAGGACAATCTCAGAACTGTTCCTTCTGGGAAGATGAAACATGCTATTAAAGTCTTCTGTGCAAGAGGCTGAGAAAATATTGGTTTTCCTTTTGGAGTTCTTGAAGCTGCTACTAAAAAGAGTCATTTTAACAGGACAGCCATTTCTATTAGAAAAGAAATGATTTATTCCAGAAATAATTATCTACACACATTAAACATGAGGTATAAGGTTTCCTAATGAACATTTTATGTACAATAATTTTACTGAGTGTGCATGTTTTGCCATTGGTTATCCCTAGTGTATGAGTTTTATCTCATTCTGTTGAACTGAAATAAAGGCCTGGATAAAATTTAAAATCTGAATTTCAAAATAGCTTTTAAAAAAGCATTGCAATTAGCAATATCCTCCACCCCAATGATTCAGTGGGGAATAAATGCCAAAATAATCTGCAGAAAAGCGTATCTACAGCCAACACACTGCTTCACAATATTGTCCCTTCTATTTCATCTTGTTCTCTGTTTGAAGAATCTATCTGGAATTCATGCCTCTATTTAGGCATCACATGACAAAGGCACTAGAAGAAGCAAGCAACCTTTAAGCCTCTGAGCCATCTTCTACAGAAGATGGACACAAGAAATGCCCAGATGGGCTGCAATTCTACATGGGCCGAGGTGAATCAGTCTTCAGGGCCCCGCACACCATGCCTTCACTTGCCACACAAAGGAAAGAGATGAATTGGAGATCCAGTCATCTTTGAGCATGGGATCTTTCTTGCAATGCTGTAATAATTTCCTACCAATAGACCTATCTCAGAGAGGTTCTTGCTCTTCTGCTGGGAAGAATCCTGTGCATAGAGAGAAAATATGCACAGACCCAAGTTCCTAGCCGGCAGAGCTAACAGCACTACTTATCCTGCACCGATGTTATGGTCCTTTCATCTGTGAGCCTACCAAGCAGGGTGACATGTGGCAGAACAGCCTGTTCCCAACTCATGGACCGAGCAACTTGGCCTACAAGACCAGATGGTTCTAATGATAATAGATGATACTACTAACTCCTAAACCGCTTCACTGGGTTCTACCAAGCACGACTGGCCCAAGCTTCCAAATGAAGCCACCTTATGACCTCTGACTCACAAAACTATTTGCCCACAAAAGACCTGGAGCCTCAGATAACCGACCATGCGGCCTCAGACTAAAAACTCCTGCATTGAGCAAAGTTTTGGATATGGAATAAAGGAGAAGAATAAGTTTCCTGGGATTATTTTCAATGCTAGGACAACTAGTCCTGGGGCAAGTATCAAAATACAAAGTGAGAACTATCCCAAAGGTCAAATCGCTACTCCCTTTCCACTTTCTGGATCCTGCTCTTTTAATTCTGCTCAACCAAGCAGCTTCCATCTGAATGTGAATTATTATACAATGCAAATTACAGGAACTCCCAACCTGCCCTTTCATGTAAATATGCCCCACTGTTTCTAAGAAGGAACAAAAAAAAAAAAAAAAGACATCGAGAAAGATGGTTCCTTGGGGTGGGAGTGGTAGATTAGAACAGAACCGTACTTCTTTCCACAGATACTGACAGCCTGGGATTTGAAGGATTTGCTCCGCCAAAACAAGCCGGCAAAAAGTAACTGGCATCCCTCTTTACAGCTAGCTATTCATTAGGCCCTTCCATAAATGAGACGAATCTGCAAGAGGGACAAGCAGAGTTACAGAAGACTTGGATGCTGGAGTATCAGGTATTACATTTGAATTAAACATGATGATCAACCTTGTATGTGAAATGTGAGAAGACTCTTCACTTGCGTGAATAAATCATGAACCAGAGAAGGGTTTATTCTGCATGGGAATCCATCTAGAGATGACAGTAGTATGAACATCATCATTAAAGGTGGAGCTGTTCTGCTGCTTTAAAAACAAGGAATATCTGGTGTGGGGAAAATTAGGAAATGTCATCTCAGATACCCTTCTCCATCCTGGTGTCCCCCCGATGTCTTGGGATACAGTTCCCATCATTCCCAGGCAGCATGGCCACTGATGATGCTGGTAGGAGACGACGACCATGGTCTCCCCAACACGTCTGCAGGGCTCTAGGCTGGGGAAGGCTTATTGGGGAGAAAAACAGGTTCGTGGTTGCGATGGAGATCTTTATCCCCACAGTGGCATAAGAATGCCTGTACCACTGCTTTACGATCCGTTCCCTGGAAAATCCCTGTGACTTTTCCCACAAAGTAGCTTAAATTAGCTCCCTGTGGCACCACGTTTTTCCAACTTGGGGAGGCTTCCTGGTTATGAAACCTCCGGTCCAAAAATGTACAAGAAGCCATGCAGGACTCCGATTTAATAAGCAAATCAAACCCATTTGAAGAGCACCTACAGCCTGGTCCATGAAGCCCAACCTTACGATGTGCAGCTTCCTTTCTGGCACTTGCACAAATGCCTTGTAGGCTTTCGCACCGGCACTGTCAGTGGTGAAAGATACTTAGAACACTCGATGCCTAATTAACAGCAATTATGCATCAGGAACTGTAACTCCATGTTCACACATCTGCCTGAACCAGTTTCCTTGCTCATTTGAGTGGCGGTCCTGTCTGACACGAGCTGTCCCCTTCCACGGCAATGGACAAGGAAGCTCCGCCGGGAAGGGAAAAGCACTAGCACCCACACACGCCCAAGAGGTTTCTGGATGAAGGAGCAGGGCCCTATTAAGACAAAACACCCAAGTCCAATGCTTTCACATTGTGGAAGAGGAAACGGAAACACAACCACAAGCTATCGACACACTTTTCCTGTCCCCTGCCATCAGTACTGGTGTGATGCCCTCCTCCCTCACATCTCACAATGACGTGGTCAGAATGGCAGAGTTGTTAAAAACATTTGATCAGCTATTTCATACAGACACATGACATTATTTGTAGCCTCTGCCATTCTCTGCATTAACTTCCAAGAATGGCACACGATAGACCCTAAATTAAATAACATCTGAACCGTCACCATGCATTCCTAGGGCTGAGCTTTGCACACACAATGGGAAAGTTGCTCATCCTTGTACTGTAATGCCCATTAAAGAATGTTTGCAATCAAGGCCATTTCTTGCACCGACTTGGCAATTTTCGCAAACAAAGACATTCTCATCACTAAGACAGACACAACTGGGTATAATGGAGAGGTGCTCTGAATGGCACCCAAGGATTTCAAGACATTCTGTGCCATGCTAAACAACCTCATAACTCTGACAATATTTGTACCGAATTTTCATTGGAATTGAATAATTTGTTTGTTTCTACAAAAAGTAGAGAACTGAGATGAAATTAGCTTTATTAATTTGCCTTGCAAGGTGCACTGATCATTTTAGGACATACATTTTCTTTCATAATTTTGATATCTTACTCCTTGCAGAAATATGTACTTTTTGTGAGACAACTAACAGTGTTGAGGGACAAAACAGAAATGCCACTGCTTTGGATTTGCTGATGTAGTTCATGACTATCATTTTTTTAAAGGGGACAAAAATTCTTTTGAACCCAACAATTATTTCAGAATGTTAACTGCTGTGTTGTCCCCATTAACACACAGACATGGATTAAATTGGATTTTGTTAAAACTGATATATAAAAACATTTCAACCCACTGTCAGTGTCGTAGATAATGCAAACACATCATAGCATTCTGGCCAGATGATAGGGATTTCTGCCATTAAACAAGTTATTGTTGGAAACGTATTTGAGATTATCACCAAAAACATGTGTTACTCAAGATAGTCCAAGACAGTTTCAACCTGTTCCTACCAATCTCCATAAATATCAGAGTAGGTAAGAGCCAGATACAAAATCCTTTGGATAGAGAAATTATTTTCCATGGAAAACAGCCTTTTTACAAAGCCAAGAAAATCTCGGAATTGTTTATTGTGCTGAATGTAGAACGCAGCTTCAGTGCAAACTCGTGTCACCATCAAACCCGGAGTGGGTGAGGACCGGACTCGGACTCAGCAGGAGCAGTTCCCACAGCCTTTCACGCTGTTTATGATTTCCTCTTGCAGCTTCTTCCTCTCCTCCTCTTTGGACATGTGATGGTTTCTCTCCTCCCACCTCTCGCCGTTATTTCTATTCAGCATCCGGCTGCTCTGCGTGTGCCACATCTCATAATAGAGGCTGCTGGGACTGCTAAGGAGATCTACATGCTTACCACGCTCTGCAACTTTACCCTGTTTTAAAAAAACATGAAGCCGGTGATCAAACACTATCTGCCGTCTGGAGCAGGAAGGTGTCCAACCCACAGCCCAGAGGAGAAACACTGCGCAGGTAGCCATCCCATGTTACTAGGCAAAGAGCATCCGTCCCAGACGGGTTTGGTGTAAGCACAGCACTGCATGCTGAAGGCACCCGCAGCCAGCCAGGTAAACAGCCGCATCACACCAGGCATGCGTTCTGCACACAGAAAGCAGACTGCTTAAAGAGAGTAATATCATAAAATGCTGTGTCAAGGCAACCTTCCAGCTCCACAATGAGCTAAATTCGTTCTAGTTTGTAAGCATTATGCAAATACATATGCATGGCCCAAGAGAATGCTTTGAACAATGTCGTGCTTCTTATGGGGACAGGACGCTACCCCTGTATCTCTTGACTAGCAGAAAGATTGCGTCAGCATCCATCCAAGTGTCCATGGTTTGCTCTTCAGCCGGAAATGCTAGAAGCTGCAGTTCTTCTTGCAAGCACAAGGTTGAACACCAAGACTCCCAAGAAGCTGAATTCAGTGCCCCCACAAAAGCATGGCAGACACAAATTTGTGATCACAGACCAGAAGGCTTCAGACTCAAAAGCCAGCAGTGCATTCCATTTGTCAGGGCAAAATACCAGCCATGTTTGAGGGAGGGGCTCTCGGAAGCTGGGATATCAGACGCCCCCTGGGAGAAGGGCAAAGACATGGCACATCTGGGTGCCTTTCCCCTTCCCCTCCTTTCCAATCTTTGGTCGTCTTGCCTTCAGCAGCTACACGGCCAATCGACCAGCAGCACAAGACGCTGCCTGGTGAAAGGTTGGGCTCATTTTCCATCCAGGCCAGCCACGATGACCCAGCAGGCAGAGGCGGGATTTTCAAGCAGGGAGGTCCCCGCGTCGCCTGCTACTGGGCCCTTGGAACTAGAGAGGCCAAGGACTGGCCCATGACCACCTGGCTGCAAAGGCCGTGTCCAGCGGCTTAACTGTGGCCTTCCCTTGGGGAAAGATGGGCGGAGGGAAAGGAAGAGGGCTGCCCCAGCCCTCTCCTTTCCGAATGCTCCAGCGGAGCCTGACTCTTCAGTCTAGTGGTCCAAACGGGGATCACGGCTGTGGATTTTTTTTTGCCCTTGTGTCCTGTCCGCCTGTCAGTGACACTGGGGAGTCTTAAACACGAAGGCTGTGTGGGGAGGGAACTGACCCTTCCCCTGTCCCCCCTTCAGTCCATTGCTTCTGGCATCCGTCGCACATGTCCAGTAGCAAAGCCAGGCAAGAAGGCACATGTGTGCGGCACCTGACTAAGGGAGGCAAAGGCACGGAAGAGCGGGCATGTGGGCACAGCATGCCTCTTCTCCGCCGCCGAAGGCAGGCCCACCTAGCCTGCACGTGAATGGGGCAGACACGTGAACGATTCCGCTGCCACATCTAGCCTGGCCCCTCCTCACAGCCAGAAGGCTGCCCAAGGAAAAGAACGCTCTCCAGATTTCGTGGAAGGCGAGTGCTGCGCCATCTTCTCTCCACCTGGCTAAACCAAGAACACACGTGAGTGAGATGAGCCGAGACCGATCTGCCTGCAGGAGTGCCAAGAATGGCCCAGCCGTTAATGAGGCTGGCTGTACTGCATGGCAGCCAAACCAGAAAGAGCCAAGCCAACAGAGTCAGGACAACCCGATCTTTTCCCTTAGGCAAACTGTTGGTTGGAAGTCAGTTGATCTGCAAAAGCAAACAATTCTGTGCTGGAAAGTCTATCTAAAGAGCTTGCCTAAGAAGCAGGTGAATATGTAGATGGCAGGTATTTGTATGAAATTTTGCCCAGAAAGCAACAGGTGAACAATTCGAAGTAGGAGAATTTTATTAGTGAGTAGAGAAAAGAGATACTTCAAAAGCCTTTTAAAACTTTCATGAATTATTTGAATTAGGGGTTGTCTTTTGCTATTCCAGCTTCTCGAGGTTACAATGACACAATTCTGATTTAAACTTCTGATGTATAATTGAAGCTGCAGCATCTGTTGGATTAACTCAGTGGTAAATCAACGGGACTCTGATTCACATCACACACATTTTTCTTCTGCTTTCAATACATTTTTTTTTTTAAAAATCAAGCTCGCAATAGGTCACCCTAATTTACAATTCATCACTGAAGAAAGGGAAGCATTTGAAACAGACAGTATGCAAAGCTTTTCCAGCAATTTTAGGGGGACAAAAAGCTTCCCATCCTGCTAAGCTCGTTATCTAATACTTCCGAAGAACAACCCTTTATCCAGACATTTTTATTACATGCTGAATTTACTGCAAATGCACATTGTGCAGGAAAGTGGCTGCGCAGCATTCCGGTCCCTCTTCCCTCTTCCCTCCCATTTTCCTTTTTGTTCCGTCTTCATTTCACGAGCTGGCCTGCAGCACTTTGCAAGCCACGAGGGCAAAGCGAACAGCTTTCTGCAGAACAGAAGTCATGGGCTTTTTACGAGCTAGCCAGGGGCCGGGCTGCACCAGGCGGCCTCGCCGAGATCATCACGGGGCCTCCACTGAGCGAGGCGCTTCACGGGCGAAACATCCCAGCTGTGCCAGCACCACTAATGAGCCCCTTTAATGGGGTCTTCTAAAAAAATCCAGTCATTATCGTTTAGTTAGCGCTATGCCAGTACGTTATAGGTTAAATTTTCTGCATAGAACAGATATGGAAAAGGCGCTTTTCCAAGCAGGGTGAAGATAGCCAGAAGAATGCTGCTTGGGAAAGGCCAGGCCAGGCACAGGTTCACCTGTCGAGAAGTGTGTAGTTCAAGCCCCCATCGCATCCAAGCGTAAGCATCCAGCTAGGACGTGCATTCACAAACGCCTGAGCTTTGCCCCTCAGTGGAATCAGTGGTGTACCACCTTCCCTGCACCCTCTTCAATGGCACCAGCACCATCTCTGAACACGCAGCAGTACAGAAACATGTCTGCACGCTCTGGGGTGCAGATGCCATTGATTTCAAGAGAAAAGGTCTCTTGGCATAATTGTGAACCACGGCAAGTGAATGACGTCCTAATGCTGAGGTCCCAGAGCGGCCTGGAAGCTCCGCCCCCTTCAGTAGCACTTTCCACATGGACCTTCTGAGCTTTCCAGCGGGTCTTGTGCTCCTTTGTTTGAGAACACAAGAAGAGCCACACCAGAGGAGAACGAGGCCCATCTTGTGCAGCAGTGTGTTCGCACACAAGGTGGAGTTGCCTGTGGGAAACCCATAAGCCGGACACAACTGCAGAAGCTCCCTCCTGCCCATGTTCCCCAGCAGCCGCTGCCGCTGGAGCCAGAAGAGAGAATTAACTACCCAGCTGCTCCCTGAGTGCCGAAAAGCTTCAGTGCGTTTGTCCCGCATCTCCCACCAAACAGGGTGAGGATGGGCTCTAGTATTAGGAAAAAAAGTTCTCCTCTTCCACTTTCTCCACACCAGGCCCCTCCTTCACATCCCGCTCACTCGACTTTTCACTAAGTCAAACCATCCCAGATATCGTAGCCTTTCCTCACAGAGCAATCCTGCACGAAATAACCCCCAAGCCCTCCCTCGAACTTCCCCCTCGGTTCATCCTGTACTGAGCTGCTGCTCGCTAGTGGGACCTGCAGCAAAGTGCTATGGCACTGAGAGCTCCTTCCATGCCAGCCAGAACCCTCTCAAGGAAACGCCATTCCGCCTTCCCTCTGCTCCTTCGCCTCCTCCCCACTTCCGGCAGCAGTCTGTGGCTCCTGGAGACATGCAGTCCTGCTCTGGGTCCCCTCCAAATTGTCCCCCCGCCCCCACAGGGCTTGTTTCTCCATCCATCTGCCATGTCTGGGCTTCCCCAAAGCTGGTTCCTTCCTTGCTTGTGTAAATGGTGCATGTGGAAAACTGACCTTGCTGTTAGTGATGCAAACTGCCCTTTGCGCTGATATGGAAAGGTAAGGTAGAAAAAAAAATATCCCAGTATATACAGTGGTCATGGCGAATAACGCATCACACTTCCCGTCTAATTAAGAGCCACAAAAGAATATCCTACATATCATATGTATCCATTGTAATGTAAAGCTATGTAAGCGTCTGAAAAGTAGTAACTATCCTGATAAGATAAAACCATGAATAAGACAAACATTAGGCAAAAGAACACAAACAACACAAAATCAGCATAAAAACAGTACACTTTAAAGAAATGCACAACCGTCTTGCCATCACTAAGCCACTCAGTGAAAATAATTAAGGATAATCCACTTATAAGCCAGATAAGCAGAGTTGGTTTTCTCACTCCTTCTGTCCTAAATACACACACTCCTAAATTCATTTGTATGTATTAATGTTTATGCGCAATTCCATACGCTGATAGCAGAGCATACAGCGCTCGTGAAAATGCGCTGCAGTCGAAGGCAATCGGGCTCTAAATAGCGGACCCTCCAAAGACTTGCACAAGGTGACTAAGGCAATGTATGACCAAGACGTCGGTTCTCACCTGGTCTAGGACAATGATCTCGTCAGCATCAACCACTGTTGACAACCTGTGTGCAATGAAGATGGAAGTTCTGTGTCTCACCATATCCCTCATGGCATTCAAGATGTTCTGGAAAATTAGAGGTACATAGAACATTAATGATATAGAACATCTGGTGCCTTTCAGATGAGGGGACAAACTATCTCAAGAAACATCTATAAAAACAATTTAATCATTTGATAAGAAGTGATTCTGAGCACTTCAGTGGCAGTTCCAAATGACAGAGAGAGAGAGAGAGAGAGAGAGAGAGAGGGAGGGAGGGAGGGAGAGGTGGTAGAAGTACAAGAATTCAGGTTCCACTTACTGGTTTCAGACAATAACCCACACTCAAGGGCAGAGTATGGATAGCTGTGTATTGCTGAAATCTGGGTTACTGTGTTTGAACCCAGCTATAACACATCATGGTTTGTTACTGGATTGTCAACTGTCATTTGTTCAACATTAGCAAACCATGGTTTAATGCAACTGGGTTCCACCAATGTATTAATCCAGGTTTCAACAACTCATGGCTCAATGAGAAGTGAATGGTTCAATTTAAGTGTGCGTTATCATGTTGCCTGAACCCAGTCCAACACTGGTATTTCACAGGCTATGTCACACAGAGATCATGCATTTTTATAAAGGTTGGAAACCCCCAAGAAAATGGAGTCAGAAAGAACTCTTGGCTGAGCTTCTAAAATACAGCTTCTAACTTGTAGAAATCTACACTGGTTTAACTTGTCTTTGTCCTGTAATTCCTTTAACATGCAGTTGAGCCGGACAACAGCTTACATTTCGCTTTCCCTTGTGTACAAACTACCCTCTTTCGATTGCCTGGTGCCCATTTTGGGGGGCAAGCAGTTGTTTTTACTGGCTGCTTTTGAAGTGCAGCTGTGTTGTGTAAGGATCATTTGACAGACAACCTGGTAAAAACAAGCAAAAGGCAGCAAATATGTAGGGTGGGAAGACATGTGGCAATCTGTGAATGGAAACATAAGGAGGCTACTCCTGACAGGTGCATCTTTTATCGTCCTCCACGCTGGAAAGGACTGTGCACATCAACTGTCAACAGACAGGCAATCTCGTGACTGCAGGTCAACAGGTATGCCAAGTACCCTAACACAAGGCGAGACAGTTCGCCTCTGCTATAGACAGGAAGATTAGTTTAGGAAATCATCGCTGGTGCCGAGACGCCTGTGCTTAACCGCTGTGAAGTCTGATGTAGTTGCTACAGCAATGTCGAGACATCGGTGTCACAACATCCTGAACATTCACAGCTCTACCTGAGAATATAAATTGATACCAAGCCAGAGGTTGCAGATGCCTGACTTGCGTCTCGGAACAGCTGCTCCACCATGAGCGTGGAGCAGAGATATTCAGGACTGATTCTGATTAACGGAGACGACCAATGGCTTTAATCTCAAATTAAGGCTTCACCGCCCGCAATCCCAATGGCTTCACGTGACGCAAGATGCTGTGCTGGCGCCCCGTTCATCCCCATCCGGAACAGCTGGGGCTCTCGGTGACCCGGCCTGAGCTCTTTGTGAAGCCAGCGGAGTGGGAGGGAGGGCGGCCTGCCAGGGATGCAGCGGGGAAAGCCCCAGTTCTGCAGCTTCACTCACCTCTTCTGTAATTGAATCTAAGGATGAAGTGGCTTCATCGTAGAGGAGGATGTAAGGATTCTTCAAGATGGCTCTGGCTATAGCAATTCTCTGCTTTTCTCCTCCTAAAAGACACAAGACCCAACAAAGACGGTAGTAGCGGGTTTTGCCTTAGATGATGCTCAGAAATGAAAGACGCTACACCCAACACGTGCACGTGTCCTTAACCCAGCGAGAGAAACGACCGTCATTCTAGAACCCCGAGCCCTTCAAAAGAAGACTGCGGTTTAAAGGTAATCAAATAATAAACAAAACAAGTACAGTGCTCAAACAGTGAGTGCTGCATTAGAATGACCAAGAGTTGTTCTGGCAAAGCAGAAGCAAGCATGACATCTATTGAACTTTACACCATAGCTAAGCTCCTTTTAAAGGGGGCGTCCAGATGGGATTTTCTGGATACTGGGCAGGCCAAACCAGTGTGTCTCGACACCCACAAATCACACGGAAAATGTGCTGCGCAACTGACTAGCGCTGCTGCGTTGCACACACCACACTGCAATTTATAGCAGAGATCTGTGTAAAATAAGCCGTGGAAGAACCTGGTGTCTATTCACATTCCCCTGTATCCAGGGCACCATTTCCCTCCATCTGCTAAGCTTGCTATTGGGTTCATTTTCCAAGGCGCTTCAGAACGCACTATTGCTATTAAACATGCAGGCTTGTTTTTTGGAAATTTAAAATTCATTTCAGATTTTGGAGGCACCACAAGTAATTAATGGTTATATATGCGTCTGTCTTCCTGTGCTGGATTCCAAAGATTTGACAAGGCTTCTCTTTAATACCTTCATATTCTTGGTGATGTGCCCTTCTAACTAGCACTGACTTGTTTTAGCAAGCCACTTTAGGAGGATAATAATCTCATTTCACTTTGAGCCTTAAGTGGCTGTGCTGAAGCTGAGCAATAAACAGAAATTGAACTATTCACCCAAGATGTGATTTCTGCTACACTCTCCCTTTATATGAAGCATGCTCTGAAGTGTGCTGAATTGGCGGTTGCCGGTATTTGAATAAGTAATGCCCCGAATGCCAGGCCTCTCCCATGCCCATTGCTGAGTCCATGCGTGTCACTCTCCCGGCAAAAATATTAACCACGGGGATGGCCTTTCCAACCCGTCACAGCCAAGGCACACTGAGCCACCCGGGGTTCTCCAAATATCTGTGCATGCGGGAGGCGTCAAGTATGGCCAAACTGCTTCAAGGAAAATGATTTTGCGTAAGGAATCAGATCGTCGCACTGAGCTGCATGTACGGGGAAAACTGCCATCGCCAGCGGCTCCTAAGAGCATCCCTTGGGCACAAGCGCCTCCTTCGGCAACCTCACAAAGCTCGGCCCGATGCAGATGTGGGTGGGTTCACGTGACATGAGCCGCACTGTCTCACAAGCTATACTAGCCTTGATGCGCCCCACAGATGATCGGGCATACAATGGGAGGGCTGCCCCCTCCCTGCCCGCCGTGGGGCTTTCACAACCAGGGTGCTCTCTGGATTGAAACTCAGTCCTATGCCAAGCTGCTCTTAAACAGCCACTTCACTGAAAACACCACTGTGGCTTTTTAAATTTTTCCCCCCAATTTATATCCTGCCTTTTTCCTCAAGGCAGCTTACATCATTCTCCTCCTCCATCTCATCCCCACAACAACAGCCCTGTGAGGGAGGTTGGGCTGAGAGTCTGCGACTGGCCCAGAGTCACCCAGCTGGCTCCATGGCCGAGCGGGGACTCGAACCCAGATCGCCGGAGTCCCAGTCCCACGCTCTTACCCACGACGCCACACTGGCTTATTGTTCTCTCCACACTACCCTGCAACCCGGGATGGTTTTGGGGTATTTATAATTGCCGTGTTTATGCTTCAGATCGCAGGAAAGGCATTACACAACTGCACAGGCGACGCAGCCCCACTCCACCCCCAATCCTAACCCGAACCCTCCCAGCAAAATTAACGCCGAGCACATACAATTACACAAAAGACCTCAGCCAGTGGCTGTGCTGTGTCCAAAAGAATTTCACAGTATTGATAAAGGCAATCAGGTTTTAATGCTTTGTCTAAGGATTTCATTGTAACAATTCCTTACCACTGCATTTCCAGCCTTATGAAACAGAAGGAAAAGCTCTTCACCATTTGCAATGCTTAGAGGGGTTACTATTTATAGTCATGCATGAAAGAAAGAATGTTTTACTTCTACTCCACTGGCCTATTTGCTATGATTCTGCCCATGGTATGTCAACACGATAATTAAAAGTATAGCATTTAATTAAGGTAAATTGTCAACTTTCAAATTGAGTTACTGGGCTGCTGCAATTTAGATATTGAAAGCCCAGCAAGGAAACTGAAAGACCTTTAGCATAGTAAATGCTGAGCTTTATATATAGAGAGAGAGCGTGCTATTTAAATCGTCTGCAAACAAATGCCTCTCCCGGCTCCCTGGCTTAACATTCAGGAAGTCCCAAGTACACCTGGCAAAGGTTGTCGCATGGAGAGCCTGTCACACGTTCACCTATCTAGAAAGCCATCATGAGAAGACATTAAACTGAGCCGGGGGGGGGGGGGGGATTCAGGCCCCCCAGGAACGTGTCTCCTTCAGAGAGGGGCCAGGTATCAGGGAGGATGGGAGGAAGGAGGAGGCTGGGGACTCCAAGGAACGGAAGCGGTGGGAAGGAGTTGAGGTGCATGTACACCATTGCTAGAAGCATGGGTAAAAAGCAGGAAGAGCTGGAAGCTCTCCTGGGAATAGGAGGGTATGACCTGGTGGGGATCACAGAAACTTGGTGGGATGAAAGGCGAGTCTGGAATGCGAACACAGAAGGGTATCACCTTTTTAGAAAGGACAGGAAGGGAAAAAGAGGTGGGGGCGTGGCTTTATACGTCAGGGAAGGGATAGGATGCAGTGAGATAGAATGCAGCACAGATGGGGATTCGGTAGAGGCCGTCTGGGTGAAACTTAGGGGTTTTGACAGGGAAAGAGACCAGACAGTGGGGGTATGTTATCGCCCTCCAGGTCAACTTGAGACCCTGGGTGATGTCCTGACAGGCCAGATTCTAAGGATATCTCGGGGGAGGGACACAGTAATTATGGGAGATTTCAGTCTCCTGGATATTACTTGGGAGACTCACTCGGCGGTGGCAGCCAGGTCACGTCGCTTCCTAGAAGCTATAGAGGGAGGGTTTTTCACACAGAGGGTCCGAGAGGCGACGAGGGGGGGAAACATCCTTGACTTGGTCTTGACCAATAGGGAGGAGCTGATAGATGAAGTACAGATTAGGGGAGCTCTGGATGCGAGTGATCACTCCATCCTTTGCTTTGAGATCAGGGGACTGGGGATGTGCAGCAGGGCAAGCACCAGAAGCTGGGAAGCGCTGGCTGCCCTTCTCATCCACGGATTACGGAAGAAATGCTAGCTGATCCTCTCACCTGCCCTGCAAACCCTAAGGAGGCACAAGGGGCTCTGTGCACCTGCACAGCTTCAGGAACCAAACACCTGGGCGCTCTTCACAGCTTCAGGACAGCCAGTCCCCATTTAGCTTAACCCATGACTGAGGTTTGATGAAGTTATTGCTCTTTTAATGTTGAAAGGATAGACACCAAATGCCACCCTAATAAATAATGAACTAATTACGTGAGACGCACAGTCTTGGCTTCCCTTGAGGGGACCTTTTCTGCCATGGCTGCAACTGCTCCAGGTTTCACTTTGCAGGGCGAAAGGCTCTACGCCAGGAAAAGGAACCTGCAAGCAGGAAGGACAGTCTGCCAAAGAGGCATGATCTGGCCAGCTCTTTCCACAGCTGGTGGGCGAGGAGAGCCGGGAGTCAGGAGCGGCCGGTGCTCCAAGACCCATCTGCCCCAGCCCTAGGCCACTCGCACAGGGCAGAGACACAGACAGGTCCTCCGCCCCCCTGCCCCAGAGGCCTTTTTGCCATTCAGTCTGCCTATTTACATCCCGCCAAGCCGCAGATTAGTGGGAGCATAAAAACACTCCAACCTTTAAATTGCTGCATTTCTACATGACCTGCTACTAGTATTTATTTCAGAAAAGTCACACCTTTACAGATCCCCATTTATACTGGTAGGAGATGCCTTGGGAAAGTTCTTAGTACGCTTGCCTAAGCCTGGGAGGTGCCTGCGTTTCACGCCACCCAGCAGCCGGTAATCATTCCCATTCTGCCCACGCGGCAGGCTGACTGCCGCAGCGCTGGTCGCTGTATCAGAGGGGAAGGGACGGGGCGCCATGGCGGCGCGCTCTTCCCAGTAAAACAGTCTGCTAGCCAGCCCGGCGACCCTGCGGGAAGCTCAGGGCTACCGGGTGACCATTTAATACCAAGCCCAGCATTTACCTTAGTGCTAAGTCAGCTGTATTACCAGCGACTGGAGTGAGGTATGAACTGCGCACCACGCCTGAGGCGGGACAGAAAAATCGCCACTGTGGAAGCCAGTTGCCCTTTTATGAACTTACCCGACAGCTTCAGTCCTCGCTCGCCCACTTGCGTGTCGTACCCGTTGGGCATTCTGAGAATGGCGTCGTGGATCCCTGCCAGTTTTGCCACAGCATAGACTTCTTCTGCCGAGGCATTGATATTGCCATACAGGAGGTTGTAGAAGATGGTATTATGGAAGAGAACAGCGTCCTAAAACATTTGCCAGAAGAACAACGCCTCTTAAAACAGAACGCCAACTGGAAGCACAGAGCGGTTTGGGTTGCTCGTTTGAACTGTCAATAGTAAAATGTCTAGAAGGTTCCACTGAAGGCCCTTCAGGCCACAGTGCTTCCAGGACGTTTAATGAGAGGTTGCAGAAGCACCAAGTCAGGGTGGGGGAAGAATCGGGGCAGATAGATTTATTTTGGCATTAAAATGGATACTTATATGACTTTAAATGCAGCACTAATACCATAGGATGTAATGTAGGATAGCCTTATCCATATTCTAGTGCTACTAATTTTTCAGGCTTTTTCAAACCACACGACCACTGCATTTATTTAAAATATCGGCATGCTACATTTCTATCACTAAAATTAAAGTAGTTGGGCTAATGAAAACATACAATAAGAAATCACCTAGAACAGAGCACAGGACATACAATATCCCAGGTGCAAAAATACAAACCCCAAACAGCAAAATATCAGATAAAAGCTTTCCTGAATAAAAATGATTTTAACCTGAGGTGTGAAAGACAGAAGGGAGCAGCAAATATACTTCATAAGAGAACTTCACTGTGCAAAAGCGACCACCGCCTTATCTAGAGCAAGAGGAGCACCTAGAAAAAGGCTACAATTTATGTCCATTGTTTATGGACCAATTAGCATTCAAGACAAGGGTCCATTCTGACTCTCCCAGGTGGGACCTTTTCAGGCTTTATGTTCCACGCAGCAGCCCCTTGAATTACGCCCAGAAATGAACTGAAAGCAGTAAGGTGCCATGCATGGGGAAGTGAGTTCCAGCTGAAAGCATGTCCGCCACACTCTGAACCTCCAGATCTCAAAGGCTTCTGTTTTATCTGGATGCTGGCTTTTGCAGAGATGCTGGCTTAACCCAGTTCGGTGTATGGGCTAGTTTATGGTTATCTGGATTTATTTTATGCTAATAATCCATTTGAAAGGTGTGCGGGCGGGGTGGGGGGATGGACCTTAACAATGGCCAAACAGAGCAGGTCCCAAGTATGAGCTCTTGTCTATTTGCAGCCAAGCTCGTTTGGGTTCTTCCTTCCTTCTGCCTTTCGGACATTCTCCCAGCTGCTCCATTGCCCCATTTTCTGCATTATGACTCTGTGGCTGCAGCGTCAGTATTTTACAACTGTTCATGACTTCCCAGCTAGAAGAAGCGCAATACCTGAGGTACGACTCCGATAGCCTTCCTCAGGCTTTCCAAACTGATGCTTTGTATGTTCTGGCCAGAAACATAAATATCACCCTTTTGAGGTTCAAAGAAGCGGAATAATAATCTCACTATTGTGCTTTTCCTAGAGAGAGAGAGAGAGAGAGAATGAGAGAGAGAGAGAGGAGAGGAGTTAGAACTTGGATTACTCCTTGCATTTAAAAAAATATTTTAAAATGGCCATTTAAAAGGCGAAATCAATCAATGATGCAGAATTTTGCACATCCGCTTACCCACCCTGACCCACTGCCTCCTACAATGGCCACTTTGCTTCCTGCGGGGACTTCAAAAGACACGCCACTGAGAACTTTCTGCCCCTCCAGGTACTCAAAATGCACGTTATCAAAGGCGATGGTGGAAGTCTGTGGTGTGATCTGCAGGGGCGGAGCCAGCTCTTTATCCTATCAAAAGAAGAGTGCTGCTTTACACACTGCCCAGAAGGTATTTCAAAGAGCTTAACAAGCCAAACAGTTGATCTAATTCAAAGTAAGGCAAGGCCAAAGACTAGAGTCTGCCCAAGTTAGAAAACTATCCGTTTCAACACACAGGTAAGTCTCTTTCTCTCGCGCACACTCCTCCCCACTCTTCTAAATCTCAAGAATTTCTACTGCCACCGTCCAGCTTCTAGGCAGCGTTTGCACAATAAATTCTGCATCATTAATTAAAACAGTAAAAAAAGGTTTCAGTGCACGGTGCACACATGAAGTGCAAAGATTATAAATGCTGCTTTGCAAATAAAAAAAAAAGCTTTCAGTAACATGACAGTAACCACTCTAACAAAAGAACAATCCCAAGCGCCTCACATTCCATTTTAGGATGCAAATTAGTTCTCAGATGAAGCAAGGTTAGCACCAGAAGGTGACCCCATTCATTTTATTACATTCTGCATGGCTCTGAGAAACATTTACGGAAAATACTTACTTTAATTTTTGTGTCTATGCTAAGCAACGTAAACAACGTGTTCATGTCTATGAGCGCTTGCCTCGTCTCTCTGTAGACAGTTCCCAGGAAATTAAGCGGCAAGGACAGCTGGAACAACAATCCATTCACCATTACTAGATCACCGACGGTCAGGTCACCTTAATGAAAGAGAAAAGGTAAAATGTCAGTTATGTCTCATTACCCAGATGCCCTGCAATCTTCTCGTGATGTACCTTTGCCCTTCAACATAAGCCTCAGCAGCTGCAAAAGAAGCTTCGATCAACCCTGTTCCACTCTTCAAACTGAAGTCAGATGACAACTGGGAGTCACATGGCAAGATCACAATCTGCCATGTTGGACAGATATTTGGAGAGGAAGTGGGAAAAATATTTGGAGAGGAAGTGGTGGGGATGGGGAGTTATGCAAGCAAGGCCCGAAATATTTGGCTACTGCTATCTCTCATCGGGTCAGTCGTAAGTTAAGTCCGGCCATAAGTTCTATATGGCTGGACTTACCCGTGCTTTTCTTCAAGGCACTGCAGCTCATTTCCACCCGTCACCAAGAAGTGGTATGTTCTTAAAAAAACACTGTATTCTACACCTTCCTTTTTACCTTAGTAGCCATCTGGGTGTCCCACCCACAAGGCTTCTATGACCAACTGGCAGATTCTGTTCTACACCTCTGAGAATCTCTGCAATGTGTTACTGATAAAACTGTTCCAAGAACCAAATATAGTCCTTGAAAATAAATACACTTGGAAGAGAGAACCATCTCAGATTCAGTGTGCGCAGAAAGTTGAGGCTACCCGCCATTCATTCTGTCCAGGCACGGCCTTTAAGGACTTCCATTTAGCCAAGCACTCCAGCAAAATGAAACACAGCTAAAAACCAAGCCTTGTTGCCTGTGGGACTACCTGCTAGAATTCCCTTGCTAGCCAGCACCATGACGGCTGTTAGACCAATACTGAACACAGCACTTTGTCCAAAGTTGAGCAGAGCTAAGGTCGTGGTAGTCTTCAGTGAGGCATTTTCATACGTCTTCAAGTAACCATCATACCGCTGGGCTTCGTACTTTTCATTATTGAAATACTAGCAAACAGAAAGAAAAACGTGTAAGGGCTCACATCATGCGCGGATCGTACAAGGTACAGGGCTGCTGAATACAGAGCCAGCTTTGCATTCCATGGAACGGCACCTTCCGTGCGCTGTTCAGCCAACCCACCCACCACAGCACCTGACCTGCCAACGCCAGATAGGCAGCATTCTGTTCCTGCTTCCTGCTCCTGGTGGCAAGCAGCTCCTCAAGTACGGCAGCCATTTGCTGCCCTGGCTGTTGGTTCTGCCCGTACATTTGGCACACTGCCCTATCCCTCCTTTTCCAAGGGGCACAGGACCCCTGGAGCACAGTCCCCGGACAGCAGATCCAACCAGGAGAGGACGGCTATCCTACTATTCTCTAGCGAGCTTCCCGGTGGAACTGGAAGTTGAACCCTGGCCTTAGCCCAACGCTCCAACACTGGAGCATAACCTTCATATAAGTTACAAACAGCAAACAAGCAAACAATGCGTTCAGGCTCTTCAGTCATATTTCCCCAAAGAGATAAATCATTTTGTTTAAAGGTAACACAAAGGGAGCACAAAGCAAGCACAAATGGGAGACAGGAACGACTTCAAGCCAGAATAAGTCAAAATTCTGAAGGACAACTTAATCCTGTAAATCATTACTGGTACTATTAAGAAGTGTGCAAATACAAGTTGCTATAGAGCGGGGTGGCTGGACTAGCTCAACGGAAGAGCCACAGAGGGTAAACGTCAGATATCTGGGAGCAGCAAGCAGGTGCCCACAGGTGGCAGCAGGCGGCAAGTAGCACGCGATCACCTGGGGGCGCCCACAGCAGTGAGTGGCAAGCCCCAAAATGAGCTCAAACAGCCGCACGTGGCTCCCGAGCCTTGGTTTGGCCACCCCTGCTAGAGAATAAGGAAAAGAGGCATTAATGGATAAACTGAGTTAATGACAATATGAAAAGTTAAGCACGTTAATGGCTCACCTTCACAGTTTCATAATTCAGCAGCGAGTCAATTGCAGCATTACCTGCATCGTTATCTGCTTTGTTCATTTCTAACCTAAATTTAGTCCTGCAAGACAAAAGGGTGGCCATAAAGAGTTGCTCTCCTTGCAGCTCCACAAAACAGTTAAGCCTAATTACTCTGGAGAAATGGCTTACCTCCACTGTGTAACTCCTATTGTGAACACCGTGTATGCTCCCAACGTCCCCAAGGTTACTAGTGCAAAGTGTGCTCCGCATTTGTAATACTGAAGCAGGAAAGAGGAGGGGAAAAGGAAGGGCATCAGTAAGCAGTTTCCAAGATCTACCATTTCAGTTATGCTATCGATATAGAAAAAGCTATCTAGATGCAATATACTACGAGGAAAATGATTATTTGCAAGGCAAGTGACAATGCAGGGGGATGTCTGGGAGAGACACAATCTGATTCCTTGGCAACACATCTGGGGCTTTTCACATCCATGGATGCTTTCCAATCCACAAGCAACTTACACAGGTGAGCCTACACACAGACAGGCCGTCAATTAAGATGAATGGAAAACGTGCCTCAGGTAGAGAAGCTCGTAAGCCGATGGGGCTCCTAAGGAATTGCCGCGAGAACCTGGGAATAATTATTCGACTGCACTCGGACCCTGTTCACGTGGTTTTCATTTACGACTGCAGAATTCTCAGGTGTGTAGAAGGAGGGAGGTGCTTTGCATACCAGTGCCGGCTTTCTCAAGGAAGGCTTTCTGCAAGGACGTGAGCCACAGTGTCTCAAGGCCCACGACTGAGTGATGCAACATGGGGGCCAGCTGGTGCAGATAGATTTTTGGAGCTAAAAAGTAGCATATGGATCCGATCCAAAGTGCATTTAGGATCAAGGTGTCAGGGGGGTCAATGAAATAAATTTTAGGCTGATTCCCCTTTCAGTTTTCTTGCATTTTGCACATGGCAAAGCAGCTGTGAGAGCCTCCCACCAAGGCTGCTACTCTAATGTGGTTCCCCGTTGGTCAACTAATTTATGATGCCAAAATTGAATATTTATAAGCCCCACTGATTTCAAATATCAAGGAAATGAGTAATGCTGAAGTCAATGAAAGGTGGAACAAGTGCTTCACTTTGGGGTGAACTGTATCCAGCTATCTCAAAATGTTCCTACTTTGAGATTCAGGAACTACAAGAAAAAGCACAGCTAACTTAAAGGGAAGTTCTTCTACATACACACTCAAAACATGAAAAACGCTGCCTAGGTTCAGATGCTATAACAGCCTCTATTCTCTATGTAGGTCAGAGGAGGAGATATGGAATGGATTATGTAACATCTGACCCAGTGAAACCACACTGAGAGCTGCCATTCCCAAGGCGAATGCTACTCTCTCACTCTTTTTGAAGCAGCTTCCATTCATGTGAATCACAGCTGAGAAGTGGAGGGAACATACTGGGAGAATTTTGCAGCACATAAACTAGATTCATGTGCAGCTAAGGCACAGAAGACACAGTCTTTAAAAGCTGGCGGATACATCTAGAAGCCGATGCAAAACTAAAGGCTTGTTTTTAAGTTGTGTCCATTTGGAACTGGCATGGGAATCAGGAACACACAAATGCCCTTGTCTGTACATCGCATTCCTTCTCTGCACTTGCCTTACCTTCATCTGTGTCCTTGCTGAATGCCAGAGCAACCCACAATAGGTGCCCCCCATGGTGGGCTACCTGGTAAGCCTGACAAACAAGCCAGCTCACCTTAGGCACTCTGTCCCCTCCCTCTTCCTTCTTCCTCCGCCACAGGGAGCCATGAGTGCCCTCTCTTACAGCCGCAATCATGACGGCTGCCAGCTTGCCACGGCTGTCTCCTTAAATTTCAGTTCAGCTCTGTTTCCCTGTAAACTCTGTTTCCAACAGGTCGGGGCAAAGGGCAAAGTCGCTCTCCCACAAAGAACAAAGCAGGAGAACGCCAGAGGAGAGGGCCTTGCCAGGAAGGGCTCGCTGCTTGCAAAAAACAGCCCCTGCCCGGCAAAAGCCCCTGCCTTCTGCAGGGGGCCGGGAAGAGACAAGGTCTCCTGTGCAGTGGTGCAACTGCCCAGAGGCTGGGAAATCCTCCCCGCCTCGTGGAGGGCGATCCGCTGTCTGAGAGCAAAGTCAGGTGGGACCTTGGCAGGAAAGGACCGACCGGGCTCATTTCTGCAGACAGCACCTGCTTCCTAGCAAGACCCCTTCTGCCCCCGGTGAGGATCCTTGCCATCTTTGCTGGCAGCTTGAAAGGTCTCGGCAGGGAGGAGCAGGTCCCCACTGTTGCTGCTGCCAGCAGCTCTGGATGTCCAGAGCAATGTTTCCTTTTATCCCAGCACCCAGGGAAGGGCTGAACTACTCCCCCACTCCTTGAAATCAGCTGGGAATCACAGTGGGGAGAGGGGGCGACCTCTGCCTGCTGCTCCACGGTGTCGACTGGGCACCTTGGGGGCACCTGGCAGTGGCAGCCACCAGACAGCCGCTTGGCAACAGCAGCCAGGGAGTTTTGATGCTCTTGCCCCCTGGCTTGCTGGCCTCACCCGAGATGGGTTGCACTGTTCGTATCTGGGTGACATGACAAGCCGTGGAGGGTGAATGCAGCCCTCCAGCAGCCCGTGAGCAATGCAGAGCAAGGCGAATACAAACAGCGGGTGAAGAGTAGCCTGCCTGCGGGTTGCTGTCTTGCCATATTCGAATGGTTGGCTAAAGGTGCAACCCTGTGCATCTGCAGAGAGAAAAATGTCCTGCACCTTGCGGCACACTGGGGAATTTCAGGAGTTGCCAAGACTTTTCGATGTACAGGATTACACCCTAAGCTGCTGCTATAAATACAATAGTAACTGCTTCAATTTTGCTAAGCAACACATACCAGAATACTGCTAACGAGCATCACTTCGAACAAAGTGGGCCCCAAATTGAAGACTAGAGCACTGAGCACAAAGCTGATGCCTCTTGTCCCTCTGTCAATGGCTTTTGACAATGCTCCGGTCTGCCTGCTCAGGTGGAAACTCAAGTCCAGGTTATGCAGGTGGAGAAAGACATTTCTTGCTATCCGTCTGATGGAACTTTGGGCTACTTTTCCAAATACGGCATTTCTAGCTTCATTAAATAAAGCAGAAGTGGCTCGTGAGATGCCATCTGGTGAAAAGAAAAGAATAAGCTTTTTTTAAAAACGCACATGAACAGAGGGATGGATCCAGATTTAGTAATGGAGTAGACCCACTGAAATCAGTAGACTTAACTTATGATTAACCTGTGTCTCATTTATTTCAATGAGTCTACTCCAAGCGAGACTATACGTGGATCTAACCCTTCTTGCTTGGGAAGGCATTTAATTTCACGTATTTGTCAATATTACTTATTCAGCTGAGACTTCAAATATATTACCCGTTAAGTCATTTTTAAGCTCAGGCTTAATTTTCAGACCATTTTACAAGCCCAGAGAGCAAACTGTTATTACAATAGATTATTGCTATAATTAGTATTTTAGTCCAGAACTGGTTGTGTAACAGGAGAAAAACCTAGATAGACCACAAAATGCTAGTAGTATTGGCTGCCGGGAAAGTAGGAAAATCTCTGCAGAATAATATTCATCCCAGATGCCTAGCTGTGTTAGCAGTGAAAGGTCATGTGCGTTCATGTTCCAAAACCTTCCTGAAGAAAGTCAGCACCTGTCAACAGATTAAAGAATCACACTTACATCCAATCAGAACAGCGGTTGCCATGGTTGCAACTGTATTTGGTGCATCATTCAGGTTGAGAGCATTTCCAGACATCTGGTTGAGGTTGTCTACTGCATATTTAAACATGAAGGGAACCACTATATTCATGGCCTAAAAAGCACAAAACACCACAATTATGCAAGACGTGATAAAATGTTTATTTACAAGGTATAAATATTTCCCCTGAATTAGCTGCAATTATGATATTTTGCTATTAACTACTTAGCGGGACGACACTACAGATCCGGGGCTAATGGGCACTGCAGTGAGGGGCCTCCCCTCCCAAAGCAGAAGTGCAAGCTTCCCACTGGCTCGCCACAAAAATCAGTGTTTATTTCAACTAAACAGTTCATTGAGAATGTGCTTCACCTCATTTTGGAGGCTCATTAAAATGATGGCAAGACTGGGACACACAAAATAGAAAGATGCTACACAGCATATAGTTATGGTGTTATTAAGAGTCATTGGAGGCTGTTCAGAGCATATCAGCTCGAAATATTTATAGAAGATATTGCAAAAGCCTTTCTGGAGAGATGGGAGCTGGCCAGGAGATGTGGCGAGGTGAACAGTACTGAGCGCCCTTCGATGTCCTGGTGTGAACGCCACCAAAATCCATCCAAGAAAACTGAATAGTAGGAAGAGGAAAACCTGGGGACTTCCACTGAAGATGGTGTTCCAAAAGGGGAGTCTGATTTAGAACTCCCTGAACTATTTTATCTGCAAAACAGCTGCCTCTCAGAGGGGCCAAAACCTTTTGGAAGCTGCTCCTCTAACATTACAGTCACTTGTGGTTGTGTTGTGTCAGCCAAAGTCAATGACCAGCTCACAGTTGCCACAAACCTGGAACTACACACAAAAATGGCCAGGAAAGCGATAACGGCCCTCTCTTCCTTCTTAGCCAAGGTGCAAAAGGCGGCAAGAGGCCCAGGAGAATTAACTTAATTTGCATTCCCAAAATCATTTCCCAGCATTCAAAAGTTCCAGAGCCACAAATTCTGCAGCTTGGCGCATCAACCAGGTCCCCCACACCACTGTCTACTGTTGAATGTTGTGTCCTGCCCCCAGGTGCCAATCTTGTATCAAAATTACACAAAACCCTTGAAGATTTCATACACTTGAGAGTCTAAAATTGAAAATCACTCTGAGTAAAAAAACAAACAGACAGACAGACAGACAGACAGACAACCAGGTTGGTTGTGGCTGGAAAATAACTCCAGACAGAGGTCCAAGGAATTGAAGGTGTGTTGAGTACTTCTTAAAGCTTTAAGGAAATACACTGCTCTGGAATTTTAATTTTCAAAAATGCCCTTCAGATAAAGAAAAACAAAAGTTGGTCGACTCCCTGTGGTGATACTTGCCCAGAAACTCAATTTTCAGCCATCTATTTATTTTTTAATAAGGCATAACGCCACTCCATCTGCGTTACATTCTGATGACCATCATTTAGTGGGCATAAAGCAGGTTTTCCCAAGAGAGCTACGCACTAGAAATGAAAATTATTGTAATGCAGATTGCCCTGACTCGCTGCAGATACCCAAGTCCCTCTGCAGCCCTTTTAGTTTTCAGAAGTGGCTACATGGTCTGATTTAGGCGACACTTAGAGTAGCTTTGGTTCTATTTCTAACGCTAAGAGGTTGCAGTCCCCTTTAAGCATCCATCTCAACCTGCAATTACATTAATTGGCACCCCTACACTGGGAAAAGAATTCCCTTGTCCTCCACCTTTAAAAGTGTTTAAATGAAATTTAGAACTGGCTCCTCCGTCCAAGAGAATAAAAACATGATTCAGAATGGGGCAGCATAATATAAGATCTCATTCACAACCAATCTGTGCTTCCATCCCCCCTCCCCGTTCAAAACAAGAGAGATGGTTCCATTGTGTTTTAGCCAAAGAATGAGGAATTAGATTCTAAAAGAAGCCCTACATGGTCAGCATCCAGACAGCCACTTTAAGCATGCGCAGAAGGTCCTCTACACACCCAGCAGGATTTCTTTTACACTACTTCTGCTTTGAAAAGCACCTCCCCCAACCCTCATGCCATAATAGAAATTGCCTTTGAAACTCCCCTCTGTTTCCAGAGCAATTTGCCAGGCAGCTTGGAGAACTGCTGTGTAAGAAATTCAGCCTCAAAGCCTCTTTGGACAAGCAAAGCCAGAATGTGCTTCTTTGGCCCTTGGCCAATCCATGCAATAAATATCAGGGTTCCAGAATACTGCACTGACTCAATCTGATTAGATGCAGAAAACTGAAGTCTTGTCCCAGATCTTGGAGATTAACAAGTCCAAGTTAAAAGAACTGCATGTGAGCATGTACTTTTTTAAATCACACACACACACACCATAGCTTATTCAGTTACTCTCAGTTGCATGATATGAACGATATTAGAAGAATGCAAAACTTGGCATCTGAGTAAGTTTGACTTCTGGACAGGCGTCAACACACCCTTTGTTGGTGAGGCAAGCAAATGCTGCCCCAGAGCACTGCGTGGTGGAAAATACATTCAGCCCACAGGGAGAGGGCCCTGTGGCAGGCCTCTTCCACAGCCAGCTACCTGAACAGAAACGGAAAGGGACTCCCGCACCTCGCTTTCCACCGGCTCCCGGCTGAGCCATTGGGAACACAAGGGAGCCCTCCCATGTGCGAGTCTAGCCACGCACGAGCAGACAGCTAGCCACTCACCAGGCTTCCCCCCACGGTTCTTCCCGAGCTGTACCTGGAGATCCAAGGGGTGGAATCAGGTGCTCTGTGGCTGAGCTGCAGCCCCTCCCAGTGCGTGGGGGAGGCTGACGCGCTCCTGCACTGAGAATATGCCATCGTTAACTGCTGCCTTCCTCCCACCTTTGCCTGCCCTGCCCCAAGGTTTTCTATGGGGACCCAACTCCAGGTGACCCCTCTTTCCAAAGCTCAGAGGAGTGCTGCTGGAGAGGCCCTGCCAATAAGGTGTCCCCACCTGTTGGCAGACGAAGATTGCTTGTTCACTCAGGCCTTTTAAGTCTTGGGTATTTTAATCTCTATTACATGATCCTTATTTTTCACTGCATTCTATTGGGTTGGCTTTTCATATTTTTTTTAAATCACGTTGACAGTGCTATTTTTATTGTGTTGGTTCTAAGTCTTTAGATCTGTGTATAGTATTATTTTTTTAATGCACCATGCCTAGAGAGCCTATTATATAGGTGACTTGCTATAAACATTGCTTTAAGAATAGTGCATGTGCTGAAGCGAAATGAATGCACACATTCAAGGGAAGCATGGGATTTTCCTACAAGGAGCATTACCTGTCCAGCTGTGATAGGTTGTAAACTAAGTCCAGAAGCCTCAGTATTAATGCAGCTCTTCTCCAGAATAGAACTTGAGCGCTCCATTACATTCCGCTCTTGAATGCTCCGTATTGCCCGTTCGGCACATTCCAAGGTAGCGCACACACATAAATGTACTTTGTTCCCGCAAATGCAGCCTCTCTGCTGTTTTAGACCTCACAGGACACAAATTGCTCTCGCTCCAGCAAGTCCTTAGTGCGCATGTGGGAACCCGAAGTTTTTAAAGCCAAAGCTCCTAAGCCCCAATGAAAGCTTAACCTGGAAGAGTGAGTGGAAGTAAAGAGTGGGGCAGGTAGGGGAAAACTAGCAAAGGGAAAATAATATTATTAGTCTAGATACACATAACTGGGCAGACATGATTGGATCTTGTTGAAATGAGATCAGTGCATGGGTTTTTCCATGCTTGGTCTTTGCGTTGAGAAGAGAAAGAACAGGTAAGTTTAAGACTGCCTGGAGATTGTGTGTGTTAGATAAGCATCTTCACTGAGGTTTTAGGAGCTCAGCGTTCTGAGGCTCACTATCTACTTGCTATGAAGATGCAAAAGCTCTAAATTTGTGTGAAAAACAGCTGTACATATAACTGGCCTGCACTGACGGGACAATGACAGGCGCAAAGGAATGGCGCAGTGACAGATGGGGGGAAGGAAAATAAGGGTCAAATTCCTCTTCAACTGCAAAGGCGACTAGGCGGGTTTTGCTGCCCCAGTGAAAATGCAGTATTCCGAACCCCTTTAATTGGGGTTAAAAGATCTGGCTTGCCATCCATGCAAGTAGCCTATGGGGAATTGGGCCTGCTTCAAAACTTACTGGGTCTGGAAGGTAAAGTTAAGCCTGATGTAAGGGAGACAGCAGGCCAAAGCATGCGCGTCGACAGCTCAGAAAGCAAGAGTACCATTTTCGCACCAGTGTTGGTAACCTAAGAGGCTTCTTGGAGCTCTCAAAAGGATGGGCAGATGCAAATGTAACAGACGCATAAAGGAAAGCACCAGCAACAGAGGTCGGGAGGCTACAGCACAAAATGCTTTGTCAAACCACTACTACCAGAGACAGCTTGGAAGATGGGCAGAGCTTCCTGACTTCTTGGGCAGTAGCCCTAGCAGTGGCTGTAGGAAAAGAAAGCCAGTAGATTTTTCATTAGAAGACCGTCCCCTAAGGGTCCATAAGGCTGAGTGGAGCTAAATGAGTTTAGATATTGCACTGACATATCCCCTGTTGATTAGGAAGAGAAGAAGTATGCGCAAGGCAGTCACATCATCCATTCTGAAGTTCCCCTGGCATTCGGCATGCACACTTTGCATTTCCAGCCAGTTCCCCTCCCAAATGTAGAAAATTAACAGTCGGGAGCAACGCAGATTCTACAGAAGATGTGCCTGACTCATAAATAATGAATGCTCTGCCCATGAGCCAAAGGCCAAAAGACTGCAAACAAGAGAGGAGGCGACAGCCGCTCCCATCAAGCATGTGGATTCAACTCAGGTATGGTGGACCATTAAAGCTTGGGCTGAGCCAGTACACTCTGAACGGGGTGGTCACTACTGCCAGGAATAAGAGCCATGGTTCTGGGGACAGGAAACTTTATAAACTGCTTAGATTAGTCTTTCTCCAACCTGATGCTTTCCAGATATTTTCAGACTGCGATGTCCAGGAAACAGCACCATTTCCAGTTAGCACACCTGCCCCCTCCCTTCCTGCTGTTGTGGCTCTCAGGAAGGGTGTTTAAGAAGGTGAAGAGGGCAGATTGTTCTGAAACTGGAATTCACTGTGCTGCTTCAATTAAAGCCAAAGCTGAGAAGAACCTGCTCCCCTGCACAATCCAGTGTGGACTTGCCTCATTACTGACGAGGTTTTCCAAACAACTGTATAGCAGAGGAGAGTGGGGGCAGTAAAGGAAATGCAAAGACATGATGTGCAGGTAAAGAAGAGCGGCATCAACACACATGCACTCAATAAGCATGTCAAAAAGCACAGTCCTAAACCAGATGACACGAATAGCACTAATCAGCTCACATTGCTTCTGAAAGCTCTCTGCTGTGACTGCCATGGAAAACACTGCGAAAGCTATTCATAAAGCACTGCTGTTGAAGAGCAAGAAAGCAGCAAATGACGACCTGAAAAGCAATGGCAGGAAGGAATGCTGCTTAGGTCCACACAGGAACATGCTATTCCATACAGGAGCAAAAGCAACCATCTGCAACAGTAGCCAATTTAATTTGAGACGCCAAGTCTCAAGCAGACTGGGAGTTTGAACGACTCTTTGCTCACATGATTCAAGCAAGGTACCTGGTACGATTACAAAATTAAGAATATTTACAGCTGGAACCTATAACCACATGCTGTAGCACCCAAAATTCTTGTTCACGGCTAGGCGGCATCTCGCCCTCTTCCAAGGCACTCTATTCCGTTCTGCTTTCCCTTGATTTTCAGGCTGCCCAGCCCTGAGGTCATCATGCCATGCTCAACAAGCATGCTCAGTCCCCAGTGCGTTACGTGTGGGTCTCCCACACGAGGGTGTCCTTTCTCCCACAAGGTATGTCCTACTTCTGCAAACTGGGGCTTCTCCAAGCTTCCTGGTAATGCCCCTCTTGAATGCGGACGGTGCTGCTTGGCGTAAGTAAGCACCAACAACTGAGGTTGTTAGTACATCAGCCTTTCCCATCTTAATGCCCTCCAGCTATTTTGGACTACAGCTCCTAGCATTCTTGACTACCTCCCATACTGGCTGGGGAGTGGCCATACTGGCTGACATAGAGGACACCAAGTTGGAGGATACTGCTATAGATAATTGAAGAAGCCCCATCTTGACCGAGAGTGCTTATAATCCACAGGAGAAGCAAAAGGATGGCAGGGAAAACTGAGCAGAGAGAACGAACTGCGTAGCCTAGCCAACTAAGCACACTAAGTGGGAAACATTTAAAGAGAGAAGCTAAAGGATGGTCCAAGAGTTGTTGGCACAGAGATGGCAACATGTAGTGCTGAGAACATATGACAGATGCTTGCTGCGATGCCCAACAGAATTTGGGCCGGCATTCGGATGCCTTCTGTACATAATTGGTCACAGGATAGAATCCAAAGAACTAGACAAGCACTGCCCACCTTTCCCAATGCAATCTGATAATTCTCTTTTGAAAATGGTTTCAAAAGCAATTTGTGAAACGGGAGACGGAGGGAACAGACGATACTGATGTGTTAACTCAAGAGCCAACCCCATTTCAAGCCAACTTCAGGCCTGGCTTGGAAACAGACGTAGCCTTAATGGGTGCCTTCCAATGAAAACTGGACATGGGAAGGACATCCTTGCTGGCTCCATTGTCCCACAGTGACTTTGGATGCCAATGAAAATCATATTCTTCTGGGTTGCTTGCCCAGGATAGAGTCTAGAGATACTGCTCTGTTTGTCTCCAGTCCTTCCTGGAGGATGATCTCAGAAAGGAAACTAGGCAATTATTTCTGGATACTGTCATCGTTGACTTATCTGTCCCTCCGAGACCCCTCCCGGCACCCATACCTCCTACCATGTCCACGAAGCTACTGGAAGAATCTGTGCAGGACTCTCAGATGCTGAAGCAGAGGCTGTAACCAGAAACGGTTTGCTGAGCTTACGCTGGTGTGCCACTTAGATCAGTTCCTAGAAAGGACAGATCTGACCACGGTGACACATATCTTAGCTATATCCAGACTGCATGATTGTGTGGAGCTGCCTCTGAATAGGGTCCCAAAATTCTTGGCAGCACCCAACTTTATTACAATACTTTGGACCTAGTCTCTTTCTAGTTCCAATTTACAGAGCTTGTTATCCCCTTTAAAGCACGAAATGGCTCAGGAATGGAGGATCTAACAGTCTTCCGTGAGCCCGCTGGTTTATTATGGTGCTTATTATCCTAAAGCTCTTGTCCATGCTCCATTGGCAGGTGACACCGAGCGCCTTCTCTGTTCCTATGCAGAGCGGCGAAACTCCCTATGCAGGGAGGTTCACCTTGCAACGTCTCTATGTGTACTCCGCCGTCTCGCAAAAATAGGCAAAATGAAATAAGGTTTTCAGCAGGTAAAGGTCTGCCGAGCCGAAGCTCTTTTACTGATCCACTGGATACTTTTGTTATGGTCGTTGTCCTTGTCATCTGCTCTACTCTTGCCTGATCTTAACATATTATTCAGCGATTGTTGCCATGCTGCTTTTCAATACGTTGAGAAGATAAAATGTAATAATATATTAAATAATAAAAACAATGTTAAAAAAAAAACTCATTGGCCTAGCATGAGCTTCTAGCACGAGCCAAAACAGCTCTTTAGAGATTGGCCATAATAGCTGCACTGAGAACTGCAAGAAAGCAGCCATTATGCCAAACACAGCGAGAAGCAAAATGCTGCCGGTTCCACTCTTGTTCTGCTAAAATAAAATAAATGCTCGCTCTTCCAAGTATTCTCTTTTTATCAACTCTCTGCCTCCTCCTTGCAGTCTCCTCCCCATTCTCTTAACAAGACAAACCTGCTGAATGTAGATAAGAGAAGGCTTGGTTCACCCTGGTTTAGCACTGGAGATTATTTCTCACTAACACAGACACTCTTCCTAATAAAATATTCTCTTTGGACTGGAATTTAACACAGCTGCGGGTTCATTTCAGAACAGTGAATCACAACTGTCCAGCGCACTAGATCTCAATCTAGCGCATCAGTGGATTAAATTTCAAATTAGTCGTTATATGTCCCCTCAGGCCAAAGTGCAACCATGTGACTAAATACAGGTCGGTTTTCATGTTTTATTCTAGATTCTTGTATCCACCAGCTGTCTTTGGAAAACTTATGCAACACAAATGTTTATTAGGCACGTGTTCCTTCAAAGAAAATCACAATGAATCACTGTGTCTAGACCTATTTTATTTCTTTATATTTATGTACCACCCAGTCCCCAAGAGTTATGGTGGAATTCTACAATACAGAGCCTTAGGAACATCAAAAAAGAACTTCCCAAATGCTGCCAAGACTAACATTCCAACTAATTCCCAGCTCCAAAATATAACTTCGACCCCAGTTAGTGAAAGCTGAGTAAACAAAGGTTCTACAACGCTCCAGGGAAAGAGGATGTGAAAACACCTGCAGAATACTCTCTCCCAGGGCTAAGTGAAAGCGGACAATATGGATGCCACCAACCCACCCTTTTGTCCAAAATGTGCCACCGAGCAGAAAAGCGACGTATTCACGGCAAACTAGCCCCACGCTCACCTAAAGGGGAGCCTGCCTCTGCACGGGCAAATGGGGCCTTCTCCCTGCGGCTGACAGATCTTCTTGTACAGCTTGCTGCAAAGAAGCAGCAGTCGCCATCTGCCCATCCACCGAATCACACGCTCCCTTCCTCCAGGCTCTCTCACACGAAGAGTGAAGGCACCGACAGCATTTAAGCATAAACTGGAACCGAGCGTGACTGCAGCGGAGGCAGCCAGGGGTCAGCGAAGACTCAGTTAAGGCTAAGGAAGACAGGAGCTTTTGCGCACATGGGGGAGGTTGCTGCTGGAGGGTTACAGCACAGAATCCTGATCAAACATGGACATGTTTTGGGAACTGAGATCGTGATGAAATGCAGGAAAATACTGGCTTTCAAGCAGCAGAAATGTAGCTGTCTTTACAGCTTACTGTACATGCCTTGTCCCTTGTTTCAGCTCGTACCTTTGCACTGGCTAACAATCCTAGCGATATGGCAACTCTGGCTCGCAGGTCAGGCCTCTCTTTCGGCCACACATAGGAAAGCATTGCTTTGATGATCTTTCTGCCATCTATTTCTTTCAACTGTGGAGAGAAAATACTGTGTTACAGAAGATAACCCAATACATCACACCAAAACAGTGGCAGCAGAATCTCAAGACAGAGATCCTGGAAGCTGCCTAGGAAAAATACTCGGTGCAAACCAAGATGTTTTCAAAAGGTACATGATGATGTCATGCCTAAGACCAAGAAAATTGTTCTAGGTGGTTTAATTGTGTGTAAAATGTCACCACTTCTTTTTAACAGAATGGCTCTGAAGTTGGGTAATCGTGCATTATGAGGTTGTTTAACAGCCAAGTGAAACTATAACTTTTAACTATAGCTTCCCCTTTAAACTGAAAGACTGTCCTGCCCTGTGTTATTAATTCTTTGTTTTAAAGCTCAGACTAACCAAACACAGCTGCAACCATTCTTCTGTCAATTTATGATTCCCTCTTTATAGTCAGGTAAATGCAAAAGATAGCCAAGAATTTTTATATTCTAATATTAAAACCTGTAAAAACTTCATATTCCAAAGTAATGCTACACATCATAACATGGTTCTTCATTCCCAAACCCTTCCAATGTTCTCCTACACCACAGAAATAGAAATAGCACCCATGGCGGTTGTGAATAGACAGAACCAGGGCAGATCTAATGTCAGGAGGCCGATCAATGAGACGCAGGGATCTGTTGACAAGATTACAAACCCTCTCTACACCTCTCCCATATTGTATAGCAAGCTGAGGGTGTGCAAAACAAACTTTTAGGATCTCAGATTAATCCAGCAATCTGGAAGCTAATTTCAGAATGTTCCTGGTTTGTCTAAGCCAAGGTTAAAGTCAGACATCCAGCACCAAATCAGGGTAAATGGAAGCAGAAGTCTGCTTGACTCAACTATGTCTAGTCCAGACACAACACTAGCCATAGGTACTCACCAAAAAAATAGCGGTGGGGGAAAGGATACAATCCTTCATGTGCCTGGATGTAAGCAGCCACAGGAATAGTCATGTCAAACTTAGGGGAGAATACTTTATTTAAATCTAACAGAATTTGTACCACATTTCAAGGCAGCTTGCAAAGTAAAATTGTAAAATAACAATAAAAATGTAATTGACCAAACAAGCGTTTTTCAAACTCAGTCCCCAACCCCATCATGACCTTCACAGAAGAACCTAATGCTTATTATGCACTTGAACTTGCGGTCAGTTGCCTTGGAGGGCTAGTGCTGTGTAAACATCTGAAGCAATTAAAATAGACCAGTCCTTGGCTATCAGGACTGCCATGATGCAACCCGGAAGTGGCAATAATGCCTAGTGGAGAAGTCAGCCTTGTCACTTACTTCCTGAACTCTAAGAACTGCTGGTCATACTCATTAAAAAAAGAAACTCCCCGTGGACACCTTCTACCCAAGAGATTCATTCCAAAACGTGGGAGTACAAATTGGTTTCAGCGGTCTCATTCTTGCTTAGGATCGAATAATTTGAAGCAGCTTATACAAATGTGGGTTTACATTTTGTCAAACTATTTCAGAGAAACTGGAAGGGAACCTAGCGGAAGAATTCACCTTTTCTCACAAAATAAGCCCAGGACAAGCTGCGGGGACATTAGCTTATAGTACACTTCTATGCAGAAACATAAATATGTACAACAACAGTATTTACCCTTTCCTTTGGATCGGAATGGAGTCCTCCACCCGCATGTCCATGCCAGCATGTTCTTTTTTCTATCTGAGACCACCCTTGAAGAGTCTGTGCAAGGTAGAATGCAATGAAATGGATTTGAGTGAATTTTGCCAGTCTCCTAAGAAGGGCATCAAATAGCTCTGTCCTCACTGAAAAGGTTTGGGCTGGGGGAAGCATGAGGCATTCCAGAAATGCCAGGCTGCAGAAATACAGCAACCAAACAAAGCTAACGGCCTGGCAGTGGATCTTCACCTAAATCTCCTTCACACATGAAGCACTGCCCTCATGGAAAACACTTCTGCTTAGCTTGCAATGCGAATGAGACATTTGCGGGGATTGGTACAGGTGTTAATCCCACATACAAGTGCGCAATGTCGTAAAGACCCCAGAGAGTTATAAATCAAACTCAGGGCTGTCTCCAACAACAACAGATTGTAGGGGTTTAACTAGATATGCCTAAATAAAACATTAATAACAACAATCTCAGGAACAGCACATCTGCAATACAAAGATCTTTTTCGCCAATGGCAGACTTCTTCCAAAAATCAAATGCACTGTGAAAGAGATGACTCTGAGTTCCCCTGGAAAATCAGAAAGTAGTAAACGCCCTTGAGCTCATCCTTTATATATCAGATCCTCAAGTCAGCAGCCTTCAAGGTCTTGCTGCAGACATCCTCGCCTCCCACTGTGAGGGAACATGGAACAGAGCCCAGTCTATGGACTACAAAGAGCAGAAGGCTCCTATGGGTTAAATCAATCCCTGAGATGGATGCCTCTTAGGCGGGGTGAGCCTCTTTAAAAGAAGGTAAGCACTGGCACCATGAATTGGTTCCATAATCTGTGCCTGGCTGGGAAACTGTGACGGCTGCAGCTTCCTGGCACACGTAAAGGACACACACGAGGAGTAAAATGCACGCCTGGGCAACTGTCGTGCCCTTCTGTGGTACAGCTTGCCATGATGAACTAGCCCATCATTTTTATATTTTTAACTGGGGTCTTCCAGACAGGAACGCTGGACATGGAATGTCACTTTTCAAAGTGTAGCTAGGCTTTAATCAAAATGCTTAATATCTCTATAATGTTTGAACACTGAGAGCAATTTGGGAAGCATCATAACAATGTAAAGCTCTCATACAAGACCTTAAGAAATGCTTACAAGTGCCATAGAAAGCATTCATTCAGTGTTATTCTTTGCAGAAAACATCATTGCTTCAGCTTTGAAGAAGGGGAGCTAGGAGGTTATAGTGAAAGAAGCTCTGTAAAGAAAAATAATCAAACATGCCTTGAATAAATATTCAGTCGCAGATCACAAGCTCCATAATAGGTGAACTATCTCACACCTGGGCCAAGTTAATGTTGCTGGATGCTTTAAGTTTGTGCTTTGATGTTCTAATTTCTGCAAAAGGAACCTACCACTCCCAGCTGTGATTACTGGGAGTGGGGAAGGGGAGGCTTTGCATAGTAAATCACATTAAATCAGTCTGTATGTCTGATTCTGAAATTCATGTACCATGGTCTAATTTAGGCTGTGAGCCTGCATATCCAATGTGTTCTTGCAGAGGGTGTACACCAACCTTCCTGAACCTGGTGCATCTTTCCAAGGCAGCGAAAACTTTGGAAACAGCAGCAAAATAGAGGGACAGTGGAGAGGCAGAGGCAGGGAGCGAAAGATTGCCCGATCCTACCTTTGCAGGATCCAAGAACTGTTTTGAATACCATCTTCTTGAACTTTGCGATGTGTGTCTGTCTAATATTGGTGGAGCCTGAAAAGAGGAAAAGCAAAGCTGTAATAATGCAGCATTCCAATCTTAGAGCTGGACAATTGGACAATCTACTTCTCTTCACTTTGCAGTGCCATGGAAAGAACCATGTAGGCTCCCTCCTCAAAATCAGGAATGCAACTTCAGAAGCTGGGGGTGGGGGGGTTGATAGGCAGGGTACTAAAAATGCCAGGACCTGAGCTATCCTGAGGTCTTCCCAGTCTTCCTCCCCCTCCAAAATGCCTTCACTAGACATGGAAAAAAGCCTGCCCAGCTAAAATGTAAGGTGGAAGGACAGAGAGGTAAAGATTGCCTCTGCTACTCCATCCAGCTTGCACAAGACGAGCGCAGTCCTCTGAGCGCATGGACTTAGAATCATCGTGACAGGAATGTGTTCTAGGAGCACAAAGAGCATGATCAGAGAATACTTCAACCACTCTACAAACACATGCCTGGCATACTTCAAGACCATTTGTTTCTTAAAAGCAACAAAAGAAAGTAGGTAGGACTGCGAGGAGCAGGTGAAATACAAAACACTTCAACTATTTAAAATGCTAAGTGGCAATGAACCTTCCCCTTCCCACCCTGTGTTCACGCAAGATGCATGTTCCTTCATTTTCTAAAAGCTCCACATCTATTCCAACTTCTCAGCTGGCAGGTGGGTTAATCTGAGATAAACTTCAATTCCACTCAGGCATGTTTTTATATTCACTATGACCTTAACAAGTGTTCCCTCAGTCCTGGTTTGCAGTTAGTTTTTCACTGAAAAGGATCACATGAAATCATGGAGTTCATACCGCAAGGTAGTTGCCACTACAGCCTCGCATAAGGGGGTGTGCTCTTTCTAAAACAAAGGCTCCCTAGCTGACCCCAAGACAAACTTTCTACTGAGACTGTTCAAGACACAAATATAATCCTCTCACAGGCCAGAGCTGGGAAGATGCTGAAGAGTTCTCTCACGGGTTCTGAGGCCCCCCCCCCACACCAAATTATCTAGACTAGGCAGATCTGTGCTGTAGCGAAGTCCCCTACGAGTGCGCGCACACTTCCACGTGGCAGCCAAATAAGAAATGTCACAATTAGCATGAACGCACAATTAACACGAATGAATGTTAAATCATATAGAGTCTACTAAAAAACCTACTGCCAGACTAAAGTGATCACCGGGGGGAGGGGGGGGCACAAATCCAGGGAAAAGCACAAATGAAATCAACAGAAACCTTGAACAATACACAGTGGGTAAATATTACTAACAAAATACGTATATGGGACCCTGTTCCAATGACACAGCTGGGCATTAGAAATGTGGTCACTGTACTGGTTCCCCACAAAATCTGGAGTTTTAAAAACATTGTAACTCTGATGCTGATAGTTTTATGATCCATTACCAATCGTAATTCTACTTACATTGCAGGCATGATTATGTCTGTGCCCAAAAGTATATGTTGGATAAACTACTGGATTACTTAACACAGAGGATAACTCAACATTCTTCACATCTTACTTGCTCGATTCCCCACAATTGGGAACAAAAGCTGGACTGGATGGGCCTCCAGTCTCATGGACCAGAGCTTTTCTTAAATTGTGTTCCATATATGCAAACAGTTGTACATCTGGATGGGCAGCATCGGGACAACGGGGCCTTCTGCCCCATGGATCTGCCTGCCGGCTGTACCCCCACCGCTTCTGTCACTACCAGGAAAAAAATGCTCTCTGTTTTCCTAATACGCTCCATTCTCCCCTTGCATTCTCTTCTTTTCTGGAGTGTTTGTAGCTAAGCTTTGGGTAAGCTACAAGTTAGAATACAATGAAACCTATTTCATTGTGTGATATACCCAATTTCAGGGTAATTGCTAATTTGGAGTCAGGGCAGTTCTATTCCATACGAGGCAATGGAGTCGGCTAATGGCAACTCACTCACTATTCAATTATTCTTAGAAGTGTATCTCAACCAGACAAAACCTGGAAAGCACGCCGAGTGCCCAAAACAGGACTGTGAATCAACACGGCATGAAGCCTTTTAAATTTATTTTTGCATAATTCTGTCCATTTGTTTTAGCACGGCTGTTTGGGCATACAATAACTGATCAAATATTTGCCTCAAGCCAACCGATAACCTTGGGTCCATCTCCCACGTGCGTGTGGACACGAGAGACAACTGTGCCGGGCTCCTGGAGGATCACCGTCCAGGGGATTGGTTTTCCTTTGCTTCCTCTTTGCAAGGGCTGAGCAGGGCTGCCAAGGACAGGCCATGCTAGAGGGGCTTTCATTTACACGGCTGCCCAAAGTCAAATAGGACTTGATATCATGTGACAACAAACAACAGCCTCTTCTCGATTAAGCCAGCACGTGGCATCGCTCAGAACTGTCAACTGATACATTTAAGCAACAATGGAAGATAAATGAAGCAATTCAAATATGTACTATATACAACTAGTACCTGGCATAATTGCAAAGGTTTTGCATTCTGTATCAGCATAGCTAGTAAACTGGGATGAAGTCCTACTGAACTGAGTGAGGTTTATGTCTGAAAAGACATGTGTAAGATTGCTGCTTTAATTTGTTAACAAGAAGTTTGGTCAAACCCCATTACTGAGGCCACCATAATAAACTGAAATATTGATCCAAACATTTAAATAGTTGGACTAATATCCATATCATTCCTGTTTGCAGTAAAATTAGTGGAAACAATGAACAAGAAAATAAATATGCTTGCATCATATGCAACCGTGCATAAAAATGTAACCTTTGTCTCTACCTTCATCTCATTTCATTCTGCAGTTGCGAACCTAAGATAATACCAGCGTGCTGTAATGGTTAAGAGCACAGGACCAGGACTCAGGCAATCTGGGTTCGAGTCCCCGCTCAGCCATGGAGCCAACTGGGTGACTTTGGGCCAATAACAGACTCTCAGCCCAACCCACCTCACAGGGTGGCTGTGGGGATAAGACGGAGAGCAGGAAGAGGAGAGTTATGTAAGCTGCTTTGAGAAAGAAAAAGGGGACACAAGTATGATAAATAGTGCACTGAAGAGGGGTACAAACTTTTTTTTTTTGCATTGCTAAGGAGAGTACAAAGACAAGTTGGGCATCTTTGTTGAATAAAGAAGTCAGGTGACTGTGGGAAAGAAGGGAAAATGGCAGAAAAAATGATATATAAAGCTGGAAATGTCAAGCAGCACTACAGATCAACAACAGCAACAAAATAAGAGACACTGTTGCATGTCAGCCAGCTTATAAACAGCCACTGTAAACAACCACTTTTCTGGGAAATACAGAAAATACAGCATGTGGCAAGACCAGCAGATACAGTAAGCCTCCAGGGTTGTAAACAAGCAAATAAGGATTGTCTCCAGGAGTTGAGCAGCCGGTTTTGGAAGAGTGAAATGCTGATTTACCAATTCCAGTTAAGGTTGGTATGTGGGGGAAAGTTGGCCTGAAAATGTTTGCAGGCCAGCAAGAGTTGCAAGCTTATTTGCAAAGTTAAGCTATTCAATTGCTTGCGTGGAACTCAAACTGCTACCAGGTTAAGTACAGTAATGATTACTTTTCTTCATAAATATGTATCTATAATATATATATTACACCAGCCTCCTTCCAAGGAACTCCAAGAATACATGTTCCATTGCTGCCCTACATATATACAGACACAATCATTTTGTGCTCACTGGATCTATGCGATTGACAGATAGGCCAAGTGTGTGGGAGATCCGGGGTCAACCAGTGCGCTTCACAGCCAAGATGCAAAACCGCAGAAATCTGGGTTCAGTGAAGCCCAAGTCTGCCCTCCGCTCCAGTTCCCACTGTTGGGTTCAGCAACCAATTCATCCAAAACGTTGAAAGAGGTAGTATTCTTATTTTGGAAAGGACTGTAACTGTCCAAACTGTGGTGGCGTATTTGGTTTTCACACAGAACATCCCAGTTTCAAAGCTCAACATTTCTAGGAGAGCGCAGAAAGACCCTTCTCAGGGGGAACCACGGCAAGTCAGTGAGGACAAGAGCGGGCCAGGCAGGACTATGTCCCAGATAAGCAGCTCCTTGTTCTCCACTTTATACTAGCGAAACTGCTACCATCGAGCTGTAGGACTAACTTTGGCCTTTTGGCTATTAGCGTTCCAGTGAAATTGAGCAATGCTACTGGGCTGCAGAAAGGACAGGGGAAAGCTTGCACAACACCTACTACACAAACCTCTGTATAGTCTGACTTCCTTCAACAAAATGGCTGATCTGTCTGCACACAAAACAGTCAGACAACTGTTTCCACTGTGAAATAACACCTTAACCAAAATTTGTGGCCTCTCCTCAGAAGCATGACGAGGAGTCGAGTGGAACGAGTGCGTACAGATGATTATTTAGGCAATGCCAAACAAGGTCAGATGAATTAGGGAAAATAGGACGATTGATGGCGATTGGTCATGATGGCTGCAGGCTACCTCCACTATTTACAAGGGATCTTCAGTTGGAAAGAGCTACGTCCCCATGTCCAGCATTTGGGATTCCCAGAAGCATCAGTGAGCCACTGTGGAAAACCAACACGGAGGCCTTTGGTTTGATCCAGGGTACTCCTCTTATGAAAAACTCCTTCTTTTGGCAATTCCTATGCTAAGCAAAGATAAACTGAATTGTCAAGCCAAGAAGCAACTTATCTCCAGACGACCTAACTGTCTCTGCCCAGATCTGCAGAAGGTGGAAGCTATATTAGCAAGGAATAAGTAACCTTCTCCTTTGTATACCTACTCCACCCTATTAACAGAATTACAGAGCTGTGAGCCCGTCCCTTCCCAATCTCCCTTTGAGTTCAAACTCAAGACAATCCTTTGAAGTGCAGTTCTTTTACTAAAACTGGACAGACTGCAGAAGAGGACGAGCTCTCTAAATTAGCCTTCTAGCAAAGTTAAGGGAGAAGCCTCTGGCCATGCGAAGTGCCAAATCCAAACTGGAAACTCCCACTCTGTCCTTGCCTTTCAGGAGAGGTTCTGGATCCACGCTCGGCGTGGCTCTTGCTGCTGGAGAGCAAGACAGTGTGAAGAGTGAAGCCCTCCAGATGCCCAGCAGCTTTCTCCTGACGCCTCCTTCTTGGGTCAAGGACTGGGTTTTGCAAATGCTTCCCTTCCCCTCCTAAATCCCTTCTGTCCCTTACGAAGCAGGCTGATTCTCCTGCTCTGCCTGAGAAACTTCACTAGCTGAGCTTGAAACTCCAAGGGCCACTTCACTCCTGTGCATCTAACGACTGAATGGAGTGCTAAGAGCGAGAGATGAGCCCACTCTTTACATACAGAACTGCATAAGGAACTGAATACAGAACTATTCTTTCTAGCAAGATTTTCCCTGATTGCATACAGCTGCTTATATGTTTTAGTGTTCCTAGATAAAAGTCAGTGATAATGCCAAAATGATTCAGGAAAACAAAAGAAATATTAGCAAACAATCCTATACAACTCTTCAAGGTGGAAATGTAGCACAACTACAAAGCCTGAAGGGCCTGATCCTGCCTAACCTGGAAAGCCAAGCAGGACGGGGCTGGGTTGAAATCCGACTTCTGACCCGCACTGAGCAGGCAGTTGGATCTGATGATATGATCCCATGTTGCGGATAATAAGGAAAACATACAACACTCTCTTTGGGATTCAAAAACCACATACAGCACGAATAAGCACACAATCATGCGCATGTTTAAACAAGTCCTATAACTACCAGCATTCTTGAGAGATTATTTCTGCTTGCCTTTTTTGCGGAAAACCCACTTTTTGTATTCCTAGATATATTTAACTTGTTAATTTGGTCTACTGTTATTGAACCAAACCAGAAAGAGCTCTTTGTGACCTGTTCTGCTGATGCCATGAATCCAAGAAAAGTGCTGTAAGGGTGCGATATAACTGTGAGGCATGGTAGCCGCCAGTTTGTGAAATAAAGGCTTTGGCCTCATTTTAGAATTACCCATAACAACTACAAATTAAACACTATGGGCTAGTATACCTAAGCATGCTTAACTCTCTGCACTCTTTGCACTGTGGCCAATAAGCAGAAGAACATCTTGGATGGTTCATTTGTTCTTTTATTCCTTTGATCTATTACTCATAAGAAACAATAACCCAGCTGAGAAAAGCAAATGCCATATGGAAGACAAGCAACAAGTGAGGCAGTAACCATTTTGACAGACTGAATTAATAGATAATAGATTAAGCCTCTTATCAACACAGGGCAACCTACATTCCCTAGTGCGCTCTCTCTGATGCAACACTGCCCCAAAAGCAAAATTTCCTTCTGTATTCAGTAATTCAAATAATTGCGATTACCTCTTTGGGTAGTATGTACAGTAGCAGTAAGGCCCTTCATTTGGTTTTGTTAGCTCTCCCAACAAGATAACTGGCTGAACTATGCATAGCTGCAAAGTCATGCGTGCACATGTGCGCAGACACATGCTGTTCAATTCGTTGCAGGCATGTACTGTATTCCCTTGCAAGAATTCTGTCACTGACCTGGTATGCACATAAACCATGTTGGCCTCGGGCAAGGAGGCGCAGGTCACACTCCATCTCCGTTACAGGCAGGGCAGTATGATCTGCAAACCTAAACCAGCGGCTTGTTTAGGGCCTAAGTAACACAATGGTTAGCCTATGGCTTGTTGTTGGGATTGTTTGGCCCTGAACAGCACGACTGCCTGGGTTTGCAGATCATGCCACACAACTTACGAAGGAGCCCAAGCACGATCTGTGCAGCAAAACGGAAGAGCCAGGCGTGCGGTGGTCAGTACGCCCACTCATGCCTAGCAACCCACCAGACGTGAACCCCACCAGCAACCAGCCAACGGGCTGTCACTGCAGGTGAGCAGGGCTAGTAAGAACTCGGTCAATAAACTGCCGGACAGAAGGAAAGTTTTGTTCTCCCTTCAGCAGCATCTTCAAGAGCAGGACTTTATTTCTGCACAAGCATGGAATGGTCCTCTGCAAGATTCCAACCATGCCATCTTCCAGGATACGCCGCTCTATCCCACCGCACCACTTTTATCAGTCTTCTCTGCTGACTGAGCATGTTCAATGCTCCCTGAAAAACCGTTCTTCTTCCTTTGCAGGGGTAACTCATCAAACCTTTAGCTACCCTTCTTGTGCACAAACCGGCTACATTAAGACGGCACCTGGAACTGAGTTTTGCTCTAGCTCCCTGTTAGATGAAGTCAGTCCACTTGCCTGTCTAGCAGAAAGAAAGGGAGCTGCATTCCATGGCACCACCTGAGGCTCAATGGGCTCTCAGTGACCCCAGCATCTGCAGCCACCAGGCTGCTCCTACCTACATCCATCTGGGATGGACTGACTGATGGATTAGCCGTAGTGTATGCCACTTCACATCTGAATAAACCCTGGAACGGTTTCCAAAATATACACAAAACGAGACTGTGATCATAGCAGAGGCTGACTCAAAGACAGTTCACCGGATGAAAGCCACAGAAAAGAAGAAAGGTTCCAGTGCACCAAAAACGTCCGGACGTCCCGCGGGCCAGACGATCCACAGGGCAGGCAGCACTGCAGCCAAGGCTGGGCGGCGTCACCCGCTCCAGGGCCGTTCCAGGGGCGGAGAAGGGGACCTCCGGGAAGGTCGCCGTGCCCCGATCCGGGTGCCGCTGGCTCCATCGGCAGCAGCGCGCCCCGCCGGCTCCCAGGGCGGCCCGTCCCCGCCTGCGGGCCCGCCGCCCGCGCCCATGCCCATGCCCCTGCCCCGCCGCCCGCGCCCGCGCCGACGCACCTGGGAGGCCTCCGGGGGCGGGCGACCC